ATTTTCGATTTTCTTTTTTTTTGTATGGAAGAGACCGCGTGAAAAAAGTGTCAAACATCAATGGTAATTCCTAGCATTCTGCATACTCGAAAAAAATCTAATTAGAAAGTGGAAAATTTGCATGAAAATTTGCTGAATTTTCGTAAATTTGCACAAATTGTAGGAATTATAGATTTATGTTTATTGTTGTAGAATGAACCATATTTTTATAAAAACTTTGCGGAAAAAAAATTGTTGCAGATCTTGTGTAAAATTTGCTGTGCCAATACTTTTTGCCGCCAGTGTAAATAATATACGCTGCAGATGGAGGTAACCAACTTGACAACATACATTTACAGCATAGATTCTCTTTTGTGCGAAGCAGCGAAGTCTACCCTTTTAAGGAAAATTTTAAATTGCCAAAATCTATTTGCATGTGAAACCATTTTTTCAGAGAAAAGAAGCGATTGAAATTCAGTTTATGGTACGTTTGCTAAATTTAGGAGTCCAAAAGCTGATTACAAATTTGCCAAATAAGAAAGTTGCACCAATTTACATATATTTTTTAATTTTAAAATTGTATTATTTAAATTTTTGTTTGTATTTCACATGACACACTTTGATCTTAAAAAAAAAATCTGAATAACCTTTTGACGGTTTAGAAACCAGAAGCAACATCAAAACTACCCATTTCATGTGCCTTGATTTAACGCAAACATCACCGAACTCCATCATTAATAAGCTTCACTTTAAAAACTTTTGCCTCCGAACACTGCCAAGAGGCAACTGATTTGATTTGCTTTACTGAAGTACCAGCATCAGTCAATCGTCAATTAGATATCGTAAGCTGCACGAAGGCGATGATAGTATGCGTGTGCCGATGTCGCAGCAAGTAGAAGCTTTAAGCCCAATAAAATAAGTTTAATAATCAAAAATTGCCCATCTCTGATTAAAGNAACATATTTTGACACAACTTTATCTCCTTTATCTATACCTTTACCGATAATATTATGGGCCAAAAGCTGACAGATAGCCGATTTAGCAGCGCATGTAACGACTTAAGACCCATCATGATCGAAATCAATCGATAAACCGCTTTTTGATCCCATTTGACAATGCGTTTTCACTTATTTGACTACAAATGCCACTGAATTTGACATAATGAAAACCAGCCTTAACAGTAACCAGCCTTTAAAATGAATCGACATTCCCGGCTTGTGAAAAAACTCATTGAAGAGGACATTATAGTTTAATGCCCAAACTATTCCCTAAAGGTTAGGAATGCTTTCTTTATTTTCCATATCATTTTTCTTCGATTTGTGCATTAGCTATTTTTCGCTAAATCAACTCAAGTAAATACCCGAAATTACAGCTAGTAATTTCTAAACAGTTTTATAAATAAACGATTTTTCCCTGATTTTAAAGAGGCTTCTCTGAGAAGCCCTGTAGTCCGAGGAACAAGGGAGGCAAGCCATTGATTCCTTGGTCTTTACGCTCTCAAGTTGGAATGATGGGAGTTACTAAGCTAAGTACTAAGTACTTTTTTGTACCAGCAGCAAGTTGAAATACCCTTAAAATTTTCTAGACTTTGGAATACATCTATTAAGAAAATATTTAGCGTCGGTTCTGGTATTTTTTGGATCGATTCACAGGTCGAATAAAAACTAAAAAATCGGAAGTTCTCGATTAATCGATCTACGATTTAATCGATTTAAAAACGGCATCTCTAATATAGATATATCACTATGAATTTATTTTTTATGTGTAATACTGTACTAGGGATTTTCGTTTGCACATTGCATTGCAGTTTTTAAGCAAAATAATGGATTACACTAGCAACTCTCTGGTAACTCATGTATCTGTTTCTAATAAAAACTGAAACAAAAATTCCATCAACGATACACAAACCCATTTGAAGCATTCCTTGATTTCCTGTGAGCCTAGCAACTACTTTTTATCTCTTCCCATAATATAATATTTTTGCTGCCTCAAAACTAGTAGTCAGTCTAAAGATTGCATGACTAAAGGGACATGATAGCAGCATAACTAAATTTTCAAGTTACAACGGACTGCCACTCACTGAACATCATAGCATTTGTTACCATTTGCTGCAACATGCGTTATCAACATGCCCATGCTGCCATCTTGCAGGCATTTTTCGAAATATGCACTAAACGCACACACTCAAGTCAAGCTTGTCACTTATGTATGCCTAGAGAGTTTACAAATATTTACTAACAAGTAAGCGTAGAAAATAATTCTGATGAAAAGCTAAAATAAAATTTCAACAAAATTTTGCATTTTTGTATTGTTTTTTTTTTCGTAACGTAACAATATTTTTGGTCAATACTCAATGTTCAATAGCTTGTTGACAGCAATTTACTGTACAAGTGTATTTGAAAGCTGTCAGCTGCTTGTAAGTTGGAAACTATTTTACTTGATTCTGATGCATTTATTTGAAGATTTTGTTGTTTCTTTTGTTAACTTACTGATTTTTCATTAACAAACAAAGAAGTGGACGTACATATGTATGTACGTTAGGGTGGTTCTTAAAAAGTCAAATTATCGATTTTTTCAGTCTCATCCCTACAATGGGTAACACCACGGTCACAGGTAACCAATACAAATTTTGGTCCCGTTTGGAGACGGTACTTGATCATGGAGACTCGAAAAATTTAAAATATATTTTTCATTTAATACGCAAAATCGATACTACTAAAGTTGAAGATATCACATATAATTTTAATTTTTTGAGTCCCCACAGAGGAATCTGAATTTTGCCCCCTATGCGACACGACTTAGTTGTCTCCAATCGGAATCAAAATTTATATATACCGTTTTCGACATAGTAGCATCGACGCAGGGGTTCGGAAATCTGATAAAAAAATTTACTTCCTACATTTAAGGACCACCCCAATGTACATGCATAAACACATACGCATGTAGTAGTAAAACAGGATTAATAATACAATGTATGTACATACATCAACTCAACTACTGACTACAACTAAGTGGATTATTTTGTATTTACAAATGTATAATATATATACTTATGTACAGAAACCAAAGCATCTGTATGCATGTATATACTACATACAGATATACATATGTGCCGTTGATATGTTTGCAAGTAAACAATTTCAGTTTCAATTTCAAGTGCAATCACGTCAAGCATCGACGAGCAAAGCGATACATATTATGCTAAATTTTTGTAAGCACTCAAGCAAAGCCTTTCAAGAAAAATTATCGAGTAAAGCACGAGCAGGAAGAAGATACTCAAAAAGCATACAACCAGCAAGTTTACTCATACTCGTATGTATGTATGTATATACATATATGGACAGTAGAATTCAGTCAGGCAATGAAGGTTGAGTGCGCATAGAAATTAGGTAGCTCCGTTCTTTTATTGTTTGTAGTTGTCACAACGGTGTATATGTACATATGTACATAAAAGCTAACTCATACGCACACACATGAATGTAAATACATACTTACATATAGTATATTGTCGTAACGTAAATGTGCTTAGCGCTGATGCAGTAGCTGACAAATCCCATTGAACTGCAAATTAAATTACCGTTAAGCATCAATCTAGCCTGCTCGAGCATTATGTTAAATTCGGTCAACAAAAAATGGCTGAAAAAGGAGCAAAAGGCAAAAAAAAATGTACTCTAAGAAAACGATTCCAATGCCAGACAAATGAAATTCAAACCCACTCGTCGTTCGCACACCCACACGTTTGGGTGCCGTTGGCCTCTTTCAATCAAATTTTTATTTTAATTTCTTTTTCTCTTATTTCCACTTTTGGTATTTTTCCATTTCCTGCTGCTTACACTTCATCATGTCTACTGCGCTCAAACGAAGTTGGCATGCTCAGTGCTAGTCTGGTCTGGTCTCGCCTGCTCTGCCCTTAACTGGACTTGACTCGGCTTTACTTGGCTTGGCTTGACTTGGCTTGCCTTGTCTGCTGTTGACTGGCTTTCACTTGCCCTCAAATGCTTTCACCAGCTTCTATTTTCCCTTACACTACACCCTTACATTCCCTGCGACCTCAATTCACTCTACTTACAGGCTTTCTTTGCTACAACTTTTGACTTCAGGTTTTCTTGTTTTCTTACATTACTATATTTGTATTATTATTATTTCTTTGTCGAATTGTTTTCGTTTGTCTTTCAGTTAAGTTCAACCAACCAACCAAATATCATTCTTGCTGCTTACTTCCATCATCAATGCTGAGCCAACGCTAATGCCAAAGCCAACAAAAACGTCCAACCAAAATCAATAGCATCTGGAAATCGACAATAATTTCAAATTGATTTTCGTTTACTTTTCCACATGTCAGGCAAGCCAAAACAGTCAGTCGGAGCGACCGCTACATTGCGCTGTACATATACGCACACATATATATGTACTATGTATGAATGTTGGTTGATTTTGGTTGGCATTACAAATAAATACCTTAGTACTCGTACAGTGTTCAGCATGCAGCTTTCTACTCTTTAATGCCGCTGAAGCCGTTGAGCTGCTAGTGGGTGCACCGTGGCAAACAATCAGGCAATCGCTGATTCTGTAGCTGTGCGGTGCGGTGCGGTGTGTATTTGGAGCACAGGCATTTTGGCATCAGTTGATTTAACAAACATTGCTCGTACGTGAAATTCTTACAGATTTTAATCTACTTTTTTTTTAGCTTGTGTGATGTGAGTGTATGCTTTTTCCATATATGTACATTCATATGTACTTTGAGACTTTTTTCGCAGTGACTGCGCAAATTTGGTATGTGACTTTGGTTCTGTTTAAATATTTAATGATGCCTTAAGAGCAAGTTAGTCAATGGTACTTTACAACATAAAAAGAAGTGTAAAAAAAAAATTATGCTAATTGCATTGTAAGGCGTGCAAGGTTTAAAAGCTCATCAAGTAAGCCGAGAATTGTCGGTTGTGATTAAATTGATTCTCTGAATTAAAAGTATTTCATTTAATTCTATATTATTAAAATTTATATATTTATTTCGTACTCAAAATAAGATGTGAGATTGCTGTGAAAGGACGCAAACACAGAGATTACAAAATTTTACTTTTGATAGTTACAAAATAGTCTCATGTATACGGTTTTTGGAACATTTGTAGAAATAGGAGTACATACTTTCCAATTAGTAAAGGACTCTGCGAGTTGATAGCTTGGTCAAACAGTACTTTTTTTCGGATTCATATAACTAATTTGCTATTGTTTTTAAATTTTGTTTTTTCAAAAATATTTTCTATAGCTTTATCTCTAATCTTAAAAAAAAAATAAAATTTAAATAAAATGTATGTATCTTTGTATCTAAAATATGTTTACTTTTTTCAAATTGGGATGTTTTTTCGCTCAAAAGAAATCCTAGGTCGCTTTTGTAGTCGCTTAGTGGAATGCGACTAGTTAATCTTTCAAAATTAGCGTTTAGTAACTCGAATGACGGTTTTTTAATTTTTAATGTATTACCTATTTTATTGTTTTTCGATAGATATTATTTCGTAAGTGTTTCTTAAAACTTACAAGTAACTTTTAAATAAAAAATACAACCGACTTCATTTCTCATATAAAAATTTAAGACTATATCTAAACCAAATTAGTATGAAACCACCTCTAGGGTACCACCTTTCCTTTAAAACAAATTATGGAAATCGGTTAACGTGGTCCAATTTTGTGCGGTAATATATATAAAAAAAAATAAAAGATAAAATATTTCGACGAGCCTCGATAATATAAGACCCACAAGGTGTATACCTCTAGAATAATAATTTAATTTATTATTGCGAAAAATCTAAATGTGAAAATCTGAATATCCAATATTCAAAATTACATAATTCGGCATAATTCGAATTTTATTAAAAAAAGATGCTATTTATTCGTCTGTATTTAGTTTCTAAAAAAATCCCACCGGGCGATTAGGGGCATTGGACTCTCGGATGGGCTCAATGTTATTTTACAAGCCAAATTCGTACACACTCGGATAACAGGGACAGGGAACTTGATATACCTTTTCATTTGACAGCGATGGTTTCAAGCTTGAGCGCGGAGTTGAAGCAGACGTTTTCTCTTAATACTTGGAGTTAAAAAGATTAATGCATCTACCTGACTATGCAAGTGTTTTCCAAGCAGATGGTATTGCTGAAGGCTATCGTCCATTAAGACGTAATAGCTTCCACCACCGTTAATGAAGGCGGCTCGCAATTTTCTTCGACAGCCAGGCGCCCATTTTGGCTCTATTGTCTTTTACAACAAATTTTAATCAGACTAAGGATTATAGAACTATTTTTAATACGGTTGGTGGTCAGTTAGAAGTGGATTTACTTTGGATCCCTGGTCATCGAAACGTTCTTGGAAATGAGGCGGAAATTGAGAGCCGGATATCTTCCCAAAACGGATGTAGTTTTATAGAGTAAAAATCGGTACCCCCGATTAAACTCGATTAGACCATTTTGCCCTGAAAATGCAATTTTATGCGTGTTAAACTTTTTACTACGCATTTGTATATGACCTGCCTTGCGTGTACTTTAGTTAGTCTACAGAAGGTTTTGTAACCGTGAAGAACTCAGGGAGCACTACATATGTTTTGCTATGCGGTACGGTATCCAGCTCTGTAGTACTGTTTTGTAAGCTGCAAAAGCGTCAAGGGTACGGAAGCAATCTTTTAGACGTTGTTATCTTATGTGTGGGACCTCAGTGCTAATAAAGGGGTCCCATACTGCAGATGTATTTCGAAGACGTGTCTCTTCTAATGCATGTTTTGTGACAACTTCTCTTGCATAAATCTCTGCTTTGAGGTTCGAACCAAATATATGTGCTATCCCCAGTTTTACCATTTTAAAATTTTAAACCGGCCTCAAAACGTAGGAGGTCATTAGTTCGTCGGTATTTACCACGTTAACCGATTGTTATAATTCTTTTTGTAAATTAAAGGTGGTATCTCAGAGGCGGTCCCTTATTCATTTGGTGTAGGTCATTGCATCATGAAGATATTAACGGTATTCTTAAATTTGCATATGAGAATTGAAGTCGGTTTTTTTGTTTGCTTAAAAATTACTTATTATACTTATGCGTACCAAACTTTGCATTAAGCTTGGTATATGGGCTCCCTATGGTCCAGAGGACTTGATTCGCAATAAGTAGAAATTACTATTCGCGTGTCATTGAAACAAATTTATTTCCGACCTTTGCTTTTTTATCCGGTTTGGAAGGGAGTTATTGCAACAGGGATGTTGAATATATCAGTTCTCTCTTTTAAAGCTATAGGTAACTAACGGTTTTACAATAGCATTAAATCAACAGCTCGCATGTTTAACACATTTTTGTCGTCATATCAATAAAAGCATATCAATTAAGGATGCAAACGATGCATCGATGGTTTGGTTATATCGGTTCAATTTTCGATGTTTGCCATCGATGTTTACAATTTACTAACATCGCGAATATGACGATACATCGATGGAAGTTTTACCGATGTTTTAAACATCGACTTTAAGGAGATTCTCCGACTTTCTTTCCGTATGTTTGGCTGACCTCAAATTTATTATTCATTCAGAANTCAATTTTCGATGTTTGCCATCGATGTTTACAATTTACTAACATCGCGAATATGACGATACATCGATGGAAGTTTTACCGATGTTTTAAACATCGACTTTAAGGAGATTCTCCGACTTTCTTTCCGTATGTTTGGCTGACCTCAAATTTATTATTCATTCAGAATATTTTTGTTACTTATGGCCTTATAACAATTATATTCAACAATTTTATTGACCTTGAGGCTGTTTCTCATGAAAAATGTTATTGGAAATCAACAATAATTTACAAAAGGTAGAAGTTATAGCTGCTATTTTGGAGATCACCACATCGCCTCAGTGACCACGGTTGAAGAAGTCTGATTAGTAGATGTGGTGATCTCCCAAATAGCAGCTATAACTTCTTACCTTTGTAAATTATTGTTGCTTTTCTACAACATTTTTCATAAAAAATGGTCCAAGCTCAATAAAATTGTTGGATTCATTCTAAATGCTAATTACCTAGCGGTTAAAACAGAACCAAACACGCCTTAGAATTTCAACAAGATCAGGCCTAGGATCTTTAGACCCGAACGACCATAGGATGGTATGAATTTCGATTCTAATAATAGTGAGGGTATAGAAAANTTTAGACCCGAACGACCATAGGATGGTATGAATTTCGATTCTAATAATAGAGAGGGTATAGAAAGGATAATAAAATACAGGAAAATACATTCATAATTATTAAAGTATTTATTATTGATTTCAATTTAACTAGAAATTAACAAATTGCAAAACATCGCAAACCATCGCTATATCCGTGTTTCTCTGGCGATGTATTTTAGCCTCGATGTTCTTTTCTCCAATGCATATTGTATGTTTCTGTATTAAAATTTTGGCTTGAAAAGCTTTGTGGTTTTGCTGATTAAAATTTTGTGTTTTAAAAATGTGTGTAATAAATATTTTTCGCATCAATTTAAAACTCAGAGCGATGAAAGTAAAAGTGATGCCATCAACACGAATAAACTCATGCTTAGTGACCCAAATATATGAGGAGTTAAGTGAATGTTAATAACGCTAGTGCTCTGAGTTTTTGAAATAGGAGTGCTCTTTAAAAATACAACTCCTCAGGGGAAGAACGTATTTCGATGACTTTACGAAGTCTGCATTTACAGTCAGATCTTAAAACATTATACATCGATATTCTTGTTTCGAGAAGAATTTTTTTTTTTTTTGAAAGTTCATTGGCCTCAATTACGTTATTCTAGCACTTATTTAGGCTCACCAAAAAACATTAAAGCTTTGCTATGGAAATATTTCGATTTTAAGGCAATTTAGATTTTTTTTTCAAAAAGGAGAGGTCGCCTTTTGTAATTTTTCGTCAAATCCTCGGCATTTGCAGCCAGATCTTAAAGTATGATACATATGTCAGCTTTTTTTCTTTTTTTCCTTGTAAGGTAGTACAGTCTAATGGGCATACATACAAAAGTCGTATGTAATTACTTAATTTAAAATTGGTAGAGAATTAAATATTTTCATTATTTAATCTATCTTTTTATCGCCTTACATATTTTTAAAGTTTTTCTCCGACGGCTAACGAAATGTATGTACTAAAGTACTATGCATGATTTAACTTTACAAATATTATACATATTTTATTTCTTTGAAAATTAATCTCAACTCTTTAAGCATATCTTTTCGCACTCACCTTGCTTTGGCGAGCTGCTGCTCATCACCTGTTGTGGCGATTGTTGTTGTGAATGTATTTGATATTGTTGCTGCTGTNAATTACTTAATTTAAAATTGGTAGAGAATTAAATATTTTCATTATTTAATTTATCTTTTTATAGCCTTACATATTTTTAAAGTTTTTCTCCGATGGCTAACGAAATGTATGTACTAAAGTACTATGCATGATTTAACTTTACAAATATTATACATATTATATTGCTATGAAAATTAATCTCAACTCTTTTCGCACTCACCTTGCTTTGGCGAGCTGCTGCTCATCACCTGTTGTGGCGATTGTTGTTGTGAATGTATTTGATATTGTTGCTGTTGCTGTTGTTGTTGTTGTTGTACTGCTACGCAAGCCTGCTGTTGGGCAGCACAAGCAGCTGCTGCAGCAGCGGCTGCAGCTTGCTGTTGATGATGTTGTGCTACTGCAGCGGCAGCAGCTTGTTGTTGCTGTTGTTGGGCCACAACAGCGGCTTGTTGCTGCTGATGTGCCACTTGTGCGGCCTGCTGCTGCTGCTGTTGTTGTTGCTGCTGAACAACAGCCTGTTGATTAGCTGACATTTGCTGAGCGGCAGCAGCTTGCTGTTGAGCCTGCTGTTGTTGCTGCTTGCTCACAGCGACTACGGCATTATTCTGATGATGCGTTTGCTGCATATGCGACTGATGAATCGTTAACAATTTGGTTTCATAGGGCTTGGCATGCGGCGCGCCCACCGACAAGGGTTGGCTGCTGATCGTCATTTGTGCTGTGGCTGGCATCATGAGAGTCGGCATTGCCAACATCTTTGCTAGAGCGACAGGGGCGGTTGGCTGCTGTTGTTCTTTTCGCTGTGGCTGTGGCTGTGGCTACGACTGCTGTTTTATTTATTTTTTTTTGTGCAAATTGAATGAGGAGCACAATATTGCAAATTTATTTATACAATATTTATTGATTGCTGATGTAACGACAGTTTCAATTTATTGGTCAGATGCGAGTTGTTTGATCGATTGCACGCAATTTCGTAGCAATTTTATAGCTTTGGCTTTCGGCTTAGCGCTATTTTCGGGGAGTTTATTTATTTACCGCCTTTCTTGTATTAGCGTGTATTTACTTAACAATTTTTATTTATGTTTATTATTTAAATTTGCATGCACTTTCTTATTACGCAAAGTTTTTGAGTACGTGTAATTTTGTATGAAACCGAACACCTTGGATGAGTTCAATGCTTTTCAGGATCGATTTTTCTTTAGCAATCTTTTAATAATGAATTCATTTAAAATTTTAAATATTTTTCTCAGCAAAATTTTATTTGCGTTGTTTTTACTAATGTCTTTTGCTATAAAGATCGTCTTTGACCGTCATGTATCACAGACCAATAAATCTAGTTTTCATTCAATTTTCTTTAAATTTTATAAGTTATTATTAAAATTAATCANTGCTGTGGCTGGCATCATGAGAGTCGGCATTGCCAACATCTTTGCTAGAGGACGAGCGGTTGGCTGCTGTTGTTCTTTTCGCTGTGGCTGTGGCTGTGGCTACGACTGCTGTTTTATTTATTTTTTTTTGTGCAAATTGAATGAGGAACGCAATGTTGCAAATTTATTTATACAATATTTATTGATTGCTGATGTAACGACAGTTACAATTTATTGGTCAGATGCGAGTTGTTTGATCGATTGCGTGCAATTTCGTAGCAACTTATAGCTTTGGCTTTCGGCTTAGCGCTATTTTCGGGGAGTTTATTTATTTACCGCCTTTCTTGTATTAGCGTGTATTTACTTTACAATTTTTATTTATGTTTATTATTTAAATTTGCTTGCACTTTCTTATTACGCAAAGTTTTTGAGTACGTGTAATTTTGTATGAAACCGAACACCTTGGATGAGTTCAATGTTTTTCAGGATCGATTTTACTTTAGCAATCTTTTAATAATGAATTCATTTAAAATTTTATATATTTTTCTCTGCAAAATTTTATTTGCTTTGTTTTTACTAATGTCATTTGCTATAAAGATCGTCTTTGACCGTCATGTATCACAGACCAATAAATCTAGTTTTCATTCAATTTTCTTTAAATTTTATAAGTTGTTATTAAAATTAATCGATGATAAATAACAAATGTATTTATTTGAAATGGTATTCAGGCGGAGGAAAGTGAAATAATTTATTTTTAGTAACAGTAGGCATCAACTAAAAGTATCCCTATATTCTCTTAATAGAAATTTAATAATTACTTTAATTTAGAAATTCTTTTTTTTTTGTCGGAACTGAAACACAGAACAACCAATGCACTCTGGCTACAAGCCCCTCATTTTACTGTTTTATTGTTCTATTTAGTCTGTTTAAAATCAACACACTTGTTTAAGAATAAATCTAAACAGAATACGGGTTGTCAATTAGCTCAGTTGTTCGTCTCTTATTATCTCATATCGCTGCCAAGGCCCCATACTTAATTAATCCTAACCGTGCCCCACCTCCTCATCCGCTTTAAGGCAAGAATGGCAAAAGGGGATTGTCATTGAAATCAAATACCCAGGAAGACATTCAGCCACATAGAGATCGAGCATATTTTGTATAAAGTACTAGACGGTCTCAACAACAGCAACTTCAGTACTATTGAAACCAAACAACATAATACCGGGAGACATACNCATCCGCTTTAAGGCAAGAATGGCAAAAGGGGATTGTCATTGAAATCAAATACCCAGGAAGACATTCAGCCACATAGAGATCGAGCATATTTTGTATAAAGTACTAGACGGTCTCAACAACAGCAACTTCAGTACTATTGAAACCAAACAACATAATACCGGGAGACATACATTATGTAAATTAAATTGTTGCATGAAAGAAAAAAACGAATGTAAAAAAGCTTATTAAAATTCTTATCAAACTCTAAAATTTGTTTGGGTAACCCTGAGCACGGAGATTCGATCGGAAGCCCCCGAAACTCAGAGTGAAAAATCCAATCTGGCAGCCCTAGCGTAAACTGCCNCATTATGTAAATTAAATTGTTGCATGAAAGAAAAAAACGAATGTAAAAAAAGCTTGTTAAAATTCTTATCAAACTCTAAAATTTGTTTGGGTAACCCTGAGCCCGGAGATTCAATCGGAAGCCCCCGAAACTCAGAGTGAAAAATCCAATCTGGCAGCCCTAGCGTAAACTGCGAAAAGAGTTAGCGAAACACATTTCCCTCAACACAAAATTTGGTGACTATATCCAATAATGTAACCATAACCAAATTGATGTAACTGAATTCTGAATTGATAAATATTTCTATTTCTATGTTTCACGTCGTAAAATCTTAAGTACCGCGTATACAACAAATGCGAGATTATTTTTTTTAAAGATATAAATACATTAGGTTAGTTTTTGTGATATCAATATTTATGTGTATTGTAAAGAAGACACTTTTTTATATTTATCTACGTATAGTGCACGAAAATTCAAAAATTTTCAAAAAGTTTCTAGAGGTAACCAGAACTACCGGGGTTTGAAAAACCTTATATTGTTCTTAACGGGAAAAATTCGATCATCTATAAATCTGTAAGTTTTTGTTCGATCAAAACAAGTGGTCTGTTAGCTGACGCGTATTTCAATTGCCTTTTCAGTAATAATTGATATTGATCGGACCTTCCAGTTTAGTCGCGAATGAAATCATACCCCGAAAACGCACAAGTGCTGCAAAAACATCGATGTTTAAGACTATCGATTTTTCGATGTTTTTACCAACAAAACATTGATAGTATCGATACTATCGGGTTTTCTTGCGAATTATAACTTTTTGTTTAAAATTGAAATTCTTATAAATTAACAAATATTATAATTTTTAACAAACTATATTTATTACTTTAAAATTAATTTAATTAGTTAATTAATTTAGAATGAAAATGTATTAATAAGGCAGTAACATGACTCATTTGCCTTATATTTAAAGCCACATTGAATATTGGAAGTTATTCATTAATTAAATGAAAAATAAAAAGTAATATAAAAAAAAACGTTCATAAGGCAACAACACAACTAATTGATGTCTTATTAAATAAATAAAGTATGTATATTTGTCCGATAAAGCAATAATTTAAGGTACACTTCAGTTTTTTAGTCTTAATTCTCTCTATTAGAGGTCATAATTTTTAAGAGCAATAACTTCCTGAAACATTTGTCCGTACGCTTTTACGTTCAAATTCAGCTAAACTGTAAAATTTTATATTGCCCCAAATCATCAATGGATAAATTTTCTTATGATGGCATATCTTCTAAAAACATCTTCTAAAAACAAACGGTTGTAGGGTCGAATAAGAAAAAAATAATATTTTAAGTTATCAGATTTCAAACAAAATAAAAAGGTGATCCATACAAAATTTATATGTTTATATTTTAAGAACCATCCTAATCTATATATATAAATATTAATACGCTAACATAAATTTTGTCTCCGTTCGTTTGACGATTCTACTGAACCGATTTCAAAACCAAGAACGCTATTGAAACCCAAGAATGATAGAATACAAGATTGCGCCAATCGAGCTGAGGGCAACTGGCCGTGACGTCAAAATATACCAGAATAAGAGAGCAAGATGAACTCGACAAGAAAAAGAAGAAGCATCGAACAAAAGGCAGTATTGCCAAGTTTTGAATTTGAAAAAGCACCAAACTTTTATTGGTGTATTTTATGGACTTTATATGAATACATAGTTAGGATGCCGATTCAAATTAATAAAAATCAATGTTTTTTGCACAACGGTCGATTTCTTCTGGCATGATTGAAGGTGCTGCACATATTTCGTTGTCGCTTATGATTGTCAATGTGCCATGATTTTGTTTAAATTTTTGTAAAATTGCTTAGCACACTTACGATTGCTATAAATCTTGCTTCCATTTTTTTAAGATTTTCTAATTTGAAGTCTTCAAACTAAAAACAAAATCACCATAAACGCACCAAGCACAAAACTCAAAAATTTTCGCGTTTTGAATACCCACTAAATTTGGTGCGAAAAGCATGAAGTTGGCAACAGTGAATGTAAACAAAAGTATATTATGACGTCAGCGATTGGGTGGATGCTGTCAAATTGACGAAGAGAGGGTTAGCGGTCCGCGAATGGCGCGACCTTTATTTTCTGGATTGTGATTGAAACCGCATTTTTCTGTAGATAAGTTTTTATGGTTTCGAAATTGGTGGAAAATTGCGGCCAGAATCGTCGTTTGGAAAATTTCCGTATTTGTGTATGGTTCTGGTTGAAACCTGTTCAGTTTGAGTTGTTTTCGCATTTTGTTTCACTCTGTAGTAAAGATAAATGTGGTGATGAAGAAATAAATGATAGCGATGAAGACAAAGAAGAGAATGCAAAAGTGAAGACAAAGACGACAATGAGAAATATATAAGAATTAGGGTAACGAGAGTGTATGAAAATGTAGTGAAATTTTTCGATAGGAATCGAAGTAAATTCAGTCATAAAAAATTTGTGTTATCGAAATTTATCGAATCATCGAAATTTAAAGATATCGAAATTTAACAAGTTATGCATGTTATTGAAATATCGCGCAAAAGATTATTCAAATTGATCAATGCTTATTGAGTTGTTGAAATCTACGGATAGATTTCGAGCTACAAAAATTTATGGGACTATCGAAATGTGTCAGGTAAATAAAATTCATCTAATTAATGATATTTATTGAATTATCATTGTTTATAGAGTTGCAATGAATTCTTTGAACTTATCAATTTATCGATATTTATTTATTTAACTGAAATTATTGGTTTTATCGAATCGAAGTTTTTGGAATAATATATCGTGCTATCGAAATTTCAATGTTATATGAGTTTACCGAGTTACCGTATCACCAGAGTGTAACGTGTTATCAAAGTTTATCGATAGCTTTCGGAAAAGATGGAGCTATAAAAACGAAGCGAGCTATCGAAAATTATAGAGGTGTCCAAAGTTAATCGAGTTATAGAAAACGAAAAATGGTCGAAATTAGTCGAACTATCGACTTTGTTCGATATGTATGAAATAATCCATATTTAAAGACAAACTGGAATGTATGGAGTCAACTACAAACCCTGCCAAAGGCCTTCCAAAATATTAAAAATTGTAGTAGTCACGTCTTAGAGCCAAAGCAGAAAATTTTCCGGTACGTAATTTTAAACGACATGCTAAGTTAGAAAACCCGTCCAAGGGCCTTAAAAAACAAGAAATGAGGTCGAATTTCGACAGTAACTGGCGCTGCTAGTATATTTTTAAATATTTAAAAATATGTACCAAGTTTTATGGTTCAACCAACGTACGAAAACTGGATAAATATAGCAACTGGAAATTGTGGGTTGAGAGGCGCGTTTGATACAATAGTTGACTTTATACTTAATAGGCGAGTTTTAGTGCACTTGCAATTTTTAGTGGATAGTTCAAAGAGCAGTAATATAAATATTTATATTTTCTATTTTAGGTAAATAAACAGTGAAAGTACATTTATATAAAAAGAATATAAATTTGACGAAATCTATTTTTTGTTAGGCCACTACTAATCGTCCGAATCATGGAATTGTTTTCAAATTTATTTAAAGAAACTCAATTGGTGTTCTCAGTTCCAGCTAAGGAAGTTAATTTACGAATGCACCTTTCTGTCAAAAAAAAAAAAAATTAAGGATCTGCTAATTAAAAGGACTGCTGTCATTGAAAATTGTGTCTACAGTAAATATGCTGACATATATTAAATGAAAAATTTTCCAAAATATGTTTATCTGGCCATATATGTATGTATCTACCATATACTAAGTTTCATCAAGTGACTTTCATATACGAAAAAAATATACATATGTATATATTTCCTATGTACGTGATTCTGGTATGCTTCAAATATTTTTAGCAACAAAATTTCATTTCATATTTAAGACATCATGTGCGCAACACTTCCTGTGAGGCACGCACTTATCTGCATTTCATGTCTACTTACAGAATTCACGATTTCCGTTGATTGTCTACTGCGTGATAAAAATATTTACATTACCAAAAACTGCAGCATGTTCAAATTTCCGCATTTTCACATTTCTGGTTTTTATGATACAAGTCTCAAGTGCATACATAAAAAATTACTTGCACGCATACAGACGTATGAATGAATGTATATAAGCAATATATATATAAAGCAGAAAACGCATGAAAACATAATTTTACAAAAGAAAAATTTATACATGCATACATATGTATACATAAGTATATATGTATGTACTTGCATGTATATGAATATGTGCATTCGTTAGCCATTATAAAAACAATGTAAAACAAAGTATGAAAAGGAAGTCTGCACTTTTTATCGAAAGCCCTACTATCGGCTGCTACTTCTCTTCTTCTGCTTTAATTTTTTCGCATTTGTGTACACAGGATTTTGAGAATTCTTCCTTTTATCGTGCACTTGAGTTTCACAAAACAAACGAGGAAGAAGCCCAAATATTTAATGACTTTTCCGCTTTCACACGAATTCAACTAGACTTACAGTTTTACGATCGTACAAACACAAGTGATGGAATAAGCAAAAAAGTGAAAAATTTACATTACATATACTACATAGCTGTTCACAAATATATAAGTATACGTATAAAGTATGTAACAGATGCATATATGTAAGTATGTACTTATGTACATCGGATAATAATAATAATAATAGATTGGCGCTTACACATATGTTAGTGTTTGGCCGAGCTTCTCCTCCGATTTGTGGCGTGCGCCTTGATGTTGTCACACAAAGCGGAGGGACCTACAGTTTTACGCCGACTCCGAACGGCGATTGTATTTTTATGAGAAGCTGTTTTTCATGGCAGAAATACACTCGGAGGTTTGCCATTGCCTGCCGAGGGACGACCGCTGTTAAGAAAAAACCTTTTTTCTATATTTTTTGCGATGTTGCTTTGACCAGGGTTTGAACCCAGGCGTTGCGGAGTGGAAGCGCGCACTGCTTACCACTACACCACAGCGGCCGACACATCGGATAATATGAGCTTTAAATATAGCCTCATTCGAGCGCTTCCCCCTTTTCGTTGGGCGTGTATGCGCGTGTACATAATTTCTCCAAATGTGCCTTTACTTAAATGTCTATGTATGTATGTATATGCTAGTGCGTGTGTAATTATGTCAACAGCTGAGAAAATCGATTCCATGTACTATATACTTACGTATGCAACGCAACAAAATCTAAAATCATGTAAAAGAGGAAATTAAAGCAGCAACATATGGATGAATATGGATTTTATGGATACAGCAATGTGAAGCTGAATACTTATTTTCACACTCCATCTGTGCAGCTGCTATTGAGTTCGCTGATTTCAATTGAAATTGAGAAGTTAAAAAGTTTAAGGAAAATGATTCACATAAAGAATTTTAACTGGAAAGTTGTGAATGCAGAGAAGAATTTGAGAACAAAATTTTTGAATAATGATGTGAAGGTGAAGAATCTTTTAATTTGTCTTTCATACATATATAAGTACATACATACATACATGCATTAAAGGAAACTTATCATGACGAACAATTTTTTTGTTTGTTTTAAAAACTTATTTACAAACAAAATTGCCCGAGTATTAAATTTACAGTGCTCTAGCTACTTTTGCCAGCTCCTAAATACATATTTTAATATTACAAATTTTTATTTTTATTTTTTTTATTTAAGCAAATTTTTAAGAAATAATTACTTTTAATTGATATATGCGAATTTCCATCGGGCATTAAATGACCAAAAATTTTAGTGACAAATTGAGGCATTAAAAAGGCGGTATCATTACGTTATATGTACATAAAATTAATTTAGTTGGCTTCCACCTCCCTTCTGTTTAATGGAGGAATATTTTTCGTAATTTTTACTATTTAAATGCCTAGTGAAAATTCGGCATTAGAAAATTGTGAGCTACTCTGCAGTCCCTTTAAATATGCCAACTGCATTTTAAATAGTTGTTTCGCTAATATTTATTTTGATAAGAACTTAACTGGAAACGTAGTATGAAAACTATGTTACTTAAACTATCTCTTGCGGTATTTTAAAAAAATATGCCCTAGAATTTTTAAATTGAAAAATTCTGGTGATGAACAATTAAAAAAAAGTCTTGCAAATACATTTCGCCAGATCTAAATGCATTTAAATGAATAACGAAAAATCCTTGTGACTCTCGCTTGAGTCTATTCAAACCAAAATGAATAATTAGCGCTTTTGAATATTATATATATATTTGCTATAAATTAAATAAGTTTACAAGGAAAGTTTAAGAAAATATTAAAAATTTGCAACAATCCTTTATTTAAATCTACTAGGTATGTGCGACTGATCAATTTATCGAATAAACTGATTAATTGAAACCTGATTAATTAATTAATCAAAAAAATAATCATTTTTGATTAATTGGAGTTATTAATTTATGAGTTAATTACCTTTTTATAAATCAGAAACTAATTAATTCTATTAATCAGAAAACCGACTAATCATAACCTGATTAATTATAACCTGATTAATCAGAAACGTGGTTACTATATCAATGCATATTTTTTATGATAGAAACAAATTTATACACATTAGTACATTAGGGTTGTACAAAATAAATAAAGTCATAATTTTAGTGTTTTCACTCCTTAGGAATTTTCTATATCGCAAACATTATACGCATATTATTATTTTTTTATCAAAAATCATGTAGAGGCCGCTAAAAGCGGTCAAAGTTTTCCGTGTATTTTATATGGGAAAGAAACAACTTTTCGTATAAATTTTAAAGAATTCACGAAAATCAATATTTTTCGATTGGAAAATTCTGCTTCTCTTCAGGAGATTCCCAATAATAATACCCAATTATTTATTTTTCACATGCATTTTTGGACCACTCTAATATATATACATATACNCCCAATTATTTATTTTTCACATGCATTTTTGGACCACTCTAATATATATATAATGTATGTAGTTTTTTCATTTCAAGCAGCAACATAGCAAGGCGCTCGTTCGGAATAACATTTTTGTTAATAAGAAAAATATTGTATTATATTATACAAAAAGTTTTTATTTGATATGTAAACTTACTGAAAATAAATGAAAATAGTTACTCATATTTCAATTATTATTTTTTTTTAATAAATAGTATTACTCAGGATCTGATTAATCAAAATCACATTAATCACGCTTTTTGATTAATCAGGATTATGATTAATTAAAGAATTATTTATTACCTATTTATAGTATATATAAGTCTAATTATTTTTTAATATTTAAATTTTCACGATTTTTTTTTATTTTTTTTTATAAAACTTGTTTTTTACTTTTCAAAAAAAAAGATATTCTGTAGCTGGTTTTTACCTTTCTAAAAATTTTAGTAAAAATTACTATCATTACTTCTCTACTTCAATTCAACCATGTCCACACTTTACTAACATTAAGCATATGTATGTAGTTGATTCAAACAATTACTTAAGTATATGCATGTATGTTAAATTTTTTATAGTTTACATAACAGTATGTAGCTAATATGTATACGCTGCGAGCACACCCCTGCCTATATATAGCACATAATGAAATACATATAGAATAACAAACTCAAAATCAAATCCATATTAGTCTGATTTGCTAAATCAAACACTCTCACTTCGATAAGTCTTTCACTTTCCTCCAGCCACTTCAAATAATAAACGCTTGCCAAAAGTAAAACATTCTTACAGTATGTACATAAGAATATAGTATATACGACTATCATATACTCCTTTCTTTGCCACTAACAATTCAATTAAATTAAAAACTTTTTTTTTACTTTCGGCTATGCGAACTTTCACTTGTTTTTAAGAAGTTGTTTCAAATATTTATGCTTATTTGCTTTTTGAAAATTTTTTGTTTCTTTCGCGTTTCAGCAAAATTCACTTTTTATTCACGTTTAAAGTTCTCTATAACGCCTTTGTCATATATTTTTTTTTAACTTTGCATTTAAGCAATACAATTCAGATAAGTATTTTTTCTCAAAAAAAAGGTGGACTTTGACTTCGTAGTTTTGGATTTTCTTTCGCTGCTTTTTAAAATATTCTTTGCATTTATTTCTTTTTGTTTTTATTGCGTTTTGGCTCTTTATACTCGCTGCCTTTTATATATGTATATATATATATATATATATATATGCTTTGTGGTATGTGAGACTTTTCTTCAAATGCTGCTGCTTCTTCTCTCAAAAATTATAATAACAACTTAACGACAATGTAACGAATATCCTTTCTTTACGAGGGCACAATTCAAACTGAATGCGAAGCTTTGACGTCGCCTTCACAAATACTCAAAATCGCGAGGACAAAGCGTTGACGCTGCCAACTGCCAGTTGGCCGCTGTCAACGTAGCTGTCGGCAGTATGCAACACATCGTTTTCGAAATTGGTACGCGAAGTAGTGGCGGCATTCGCCTTCGTAGTCGCCATCATAGTTGGCGGCATAGTCCTATGCATAAACAACGAGTAAGCGAATGTTAGTGGCGTGCAGTGTCGTTAGCGACGGCTGCAGCGGCGTCGCCATTTCCCACAGTGCTCATTCGTTTATATTTACGGTTTGTAGAGGAAGCGAAAGATATTCGAAGAATTACAGTTATTTGTATGATTGACTTGGTTGTGGTAAGCGTTAGCTCTCTGTAGCTGCTCTCACTTGATTGCGCTCTTCGAAAAGGCACTTGCTCCTTAAAAACTATTGGAGATGCTCAGGCAAGCGCAAATGCGTGTTTCGAATATGCTAAGGATTCTTTGAGCATATTGGCTGGTGTTTCGTAAATTCGTGAAATTCTCATGAACTACGTCGGCCAAATGCTTTTGTTTAGACGCGAATAACAACTTTAGAACTCGTATTGGCTGCGAACAACTGCACTTTTGCTCGTGTTGAAGATAAGTTGAGACTCGTCGCTCGGAATTGCGAATATAATTTCGATATTCGAGAGGTGGAAGTCCTAGCTAATAATGGGATTTTTCAGTTTTATGAGTTCGACTTTCTACTTTAATGAGTTTAACTGTTCTACAAAATTATGGTTGGCCAATTTCGAAAAATCTATCTTTAGTAACTGTGGATTTTATGGCAGTTGAATAAGTGAAATTTGTGTTTGTTGTTATATGCGAGCATCGAGTAGAAGACCTATTCCACAATGTGGAATTGTCACGCAATTTAGCTCATTTTTAGCTGACTATTAAGTAGAGAAATAAAAAACAAAGTAAACATATTTTTAACGGTTTGAAATGTCGTGTTCTGTGTGTAACCTTCATGTGCTCGGAAGTCTACATTTGTAACATTTTCGTAAAAAATTTTTAATAAATAAAATAATTTTACTACACGTGTGTCTAGAGTTTTCAGTAATTTTATAAAAATCAATGGCTATTAAGTGTACCCAAATTTATTTTATTTAAGTCGATACTATATAACAGCGTGCGACAGACAATTTTACTCACAGAAAAATTTATATACTCACGAAACTCGGGTCAAACATAGTCAAACTGCGTTCTTAGATTTTCTCTCTGACGTCAGGATTTTTGCAATTTTAAGGGACTTTGCAATTTCAAGGATATGATAAATTCAATTATTATTGAAAAATTAGCGCAAAGTGTAATAACAGTAAGGATGTTGAATAAATAGCAAAACTCTGTAAGATTGAAAGAAAATTAAATGTGTTGGTGCTTTTGACAAGGACGAGCGAGTATTGAAATTGTCATTTTAACCTTATAAGTTAAGGATAAAAAATTATCCAAAAGGACATTTTTAATATATGTTTACTCTTTGGCACAAAGAATTTAACGTAAAAAACAGCGCCACAATAAAGGTATAGCGTTTGAAAACGAAATTGAGCTGTTCTTTATGATCGCGTACTTGGGGTTTACACAAGTCAATTTTGCAGATACAATAACAATACATTCACATTTTTTTTTATACCCGAGCGCACTTGTGCACAAGCGTATATTAATTTTGTTCAAATAACGGTTGTTTGTAACAGCCAAAACGAATCGAGATAGATATAGACAAATGTATACATAAATGATCAGGATGAAAAAAGAAATCGATTAAGCCATGTCTGTCTGTCCGTCCGTCCGTCCGTCTGTCCGTCTGTCCGTCTGTCCGTCTGTCCGTGTACACGATAACTCGAGCAAAAATTTAGATATCTCAACGAAATTTGGTATGTAGGTTTCCCTTAATCCAAGGTAGGTTGGTGTTGAAAATAGGCGAAATCGGACTTTAACCACGCCCACTTACCATATAACGGTAATTTCCAGAAATACAAAAACTGCACTGGCACAGTTGTTGGCCTTTGCATAACATACCAAATGGTTGCGCCGGGTATTTAATGTTCGGCTCCGCCCCAACTTAGACTTTCTTACTTGTTACTTATGTATTCACACTTCTCACATTGTCTTCGTCACAGTCTTCAAATATTCGAGGACATTTTATTCTCTGGACGCCTACTTTACCCAAACAATGTGAAAAACAAGATGTACATATTTTAATTGTCTTTTCTTGTATAAACGCAAGGTAATACAACTGTTAGCTGTGACGAACCTACCTTGATCGTTTCAATAAGACTTGCACCCTTGCATAAAGACAATACATATACGCCAGACTACATTCATGCAGCCAGTGAGGCGTTCACAGACAGAATCGACGCTTGAGATGGCTTTACCGAACAGTAATACTTTTTTTGTAAAATTTTGCTAGTTCATGTGTTGAACTGATGTCTTTAAATAAAAATAATATAAAATATTATAGCGTTTCTAATTGGTAACACTTCGGGCGCCTACCCCTTTAGGATTAAGCGACTTTGCAGTTTACCATGATTGCTTGCGTTCACTTTAGCTCCATTAGCAAAATTGTAATCTCCTAAGTCGAACTAAGGTATGCTAGAGCTCTGTATAAGCAACTAATCAACTTTAAATGATTCAAGCCATTATATTATTTAACCCTAAAAGCGTAATATATGCCTACGAGCCGTGTACGGAATCGGAATTTTTTTTAAATTGAACACAAAAATGCCTTTATATATTTTTATTTAATTAATCAATATAGGTTTTTTTTTTTGTAGGAGAGGGAAATGCTTTATGCACTGGCCGGGGGCGCTAGTCTCTATACTACCTTCCCCGAGTGTGGGACTCCCACCGAAGCGTGCTGGGCTACCCACTAAAACCCAAACTCCCACCGCCCGCGCAAGAATCCCGCATCTGGGACCGCAATTCTGCATGTCTTCAGATGCAGGAGCGCGCTGTTAGAGCCTTGGGGCTGCTCTTTTGTAGGGGAATTTCATTCGGGTGTCCTCAGTAGACAACCGGCCTCTCGTTTGCAGCGGAGTACGAATTTCACGTATCTCGCAACTGCTTCCCACTTTTCTGCGCTGGAAATCATTACCCCAACTATGTTGTTCGGAGTTATGTCTCCGTGTA